CTGCTATATGCATGCGAGTACTGCGGGCTGGCCTACCCCGAGTCTCGCAGGCGCCGAGCTCCCGTAATATGCCACTAACGAATCTGAGGAAAATAGGTGTACTCTCTGGACGATCCCTTTGGCAAAAGTCGATCCGAAGCAGGTTCGATATGGCGTAAATCATTATGAGGAGGAAGCTAGCGTCAGCCACGCGTTGTTGTGAGTCGATAAAGTGTTTTACTAGGGTTTTTAATTTTCCAAAAAAGTATTTCCCAAAAGTTTTATTGAGAATGGTTTTTTTAACCTCGTATTTTCTTTCTAAGAAAATTCATTATAGTTTTCGTTTTTCTGGAATTATATCAATTTTTCTTGAAAAGTTTCAAAATTTCCTGAAAACAAAAAGCTGGCTTTAAAATACTTCCTGGCCGTCCGCGCGATGCCCGGGGCCTGCTCCTTCTCTTACACGTACGCCGGAGGCGGAGAGGAGAGAGGCCGCCTCGGGGGCCGAGGCAGACACAGACAGCAAAGGCGAGTAGCGTCATTAATTAAAACGAACGAAAACGTGAATATATGGCTGCCGTCGCTCGCACGTGCGCTGGCTGCGGCTGGGCTGCGCGGAGCCAAGGCCCAACAAGTAGTGTGAGTCACTCGCCCCGCCCGCCCCGCCCAGCCGCACCCTTCGCGCCCCGGCGCCCAGCCCAAGTAATCCCCCACTGATCCCGGATAACGGCGCAGAGATCATGCTCCGAGTCACCCCTCGCTTTGCTGCAACCCACTGGGAAATGATCCGTGCGGACCTCGCGCGGGGGGGGGGACGTGGCGCCTCGGCCACGGTCTCGATCAGCAAAGTGCACAGCACAGCACACCTCTCAGCACCCGTGGAATGTCAGGTTGGGCACGACAGTCCTGGAACTTGACACAACCAAAACAGAATTCCACCCCATGCTGCAAATATAACCGAAACTCGATACTCGCCGACACTTTTGAAGCCTTATGGTGCCGGGGCAATCTTCTAAGACAGTAGTATAAGCTTCCTAAGTTACTCGCGCTCTAAATTAGAGCCCCGCAACGAGCGAGCTACGCGAGCATAGAGCTAGACCCCTTCTTCGGAGGGGGAGAGGGGGAGAAGGGGGGGTATTTACCTCGCTACTCTGAATCTTGAACCTTAAATCGATGGCAGTACTGAAAACGTTGATTATTTGTTTATACCCAATTTCCGATATCAACCAAGATCGACCAAGATAATGGTAGAAAGTTAGTTTTTTTGGCTGGGTCCACCATCATCCCTTTTGGTACTCTGGAAGGGTGGCTGCTTGCACGTGGTTCTGACCTGGGCTTGGCAAGGAGTGGCCGCCCTGCGGGGCTCATAGCCGCCGGGCCCCAAGCCAGGCCGTGTTGTGCCGCAGGCCAGTGTGCTACTGGGGCTGTAGGGCGCGCCCCGCCCC